TATTAGGATGAATGGAGATTTCTGGCACCATCTATGTGCTTTATCATTTTAGGAAGCTCAGCTGTCAGACTTAGCCATTCATAAAATGCAAATGTCCACCAGCCATTCTATTGTTGATATACTTTTTATAATATGCATATGTCTGTGCACAGATATAGCCTGTACTAAAATCCAGCTCACAATTGCCCTGATATTCTTCTGCAGGATTTCTGCTACAACTCAATAGTTGTGGGTTGTCCCTGAGGCAGCAAAGCAGCACCAGACCTTGGTGCTCCCTCCACCTCATGGTTCAGACCCTGGATGAGTTTAGGATGTTTATATGCATTGCCTTTTCTCTAAAAAGTAACACTGATATCTTCTTCTTTTTTTGGGCAAAAATTCTATTTTGTCCACAGAACACTGTTCACTGTGAAAAATCCTGGACAACCTTTGCTCAACAACTTTCTCTCTGTGGACTCAGAAAAACACTGTGCGGCTGCAGATTTGTCACACTGAGATCTGTATTGTACTCTTGCGGGGAGCTTTGCAGAACAACCTGTCCTGAAGGGCACAGCACTGGTGCTGGATTTCCTCCATTTGTTCTGAAGTCTTCACAGAAGCTTGTGCAGCCATCTTCTGAGGTTCAACAATCTTCTGAGCTCCTCTGAAATCTCTCCTGATCAGGACATGTGCCACTCTGTTGATAACGGAACAGGGTACCTCTGAATATCATCACACTGACTGGATGATGTTGGACTCAATTTACCAGCTTTCCATTCAGCTTTAAACATAAACACATAATAAATCAAATAAGAAAATATAATAATAAATAAATATAAAAACTGTCATGTTCATTTATTCTAAATAGTTCATCATGGCTAAGATGAAAATCAGGACAAATTCATGCAGGATTCCAGGTAATATTAAAGGTTCCATGGAACATATTTATACATTTACTAATTATATATAATATATATGACAACAATGAGTTTTTACTTTCCATGGGTGGGGGGATTCAGCTCACGCCCAGGCTAAATTTATCCTTTCCTCTATTGTTTGTCTTGTGTCTATAATCAATTTCAGACAGAAAATGAATAGCTAAGGAACTGACAGTTCCCTGATTGAGACATATTTTAGTGCCCAAAACAATTATCATCTGTGCAGCTTTATGGAGTAATGAACACAATCTGAAACACTCTTCTTCATGGCTTTAGGACTAGAATCAAGTTTAATCACATCCTGAGGAAAACGTCCGGGTTTGTTTCTTTTTGTTATATTTTGCTTCTCAGCCAGACGAAATTGTTTCACTTCAAAGGCAGCTGAGCTGAGAGAAATGTGGGGAGACCGAGAGAACTTCATTCTCACACTTCATTAATGTTGATAAGACATACTCTTTTGGGGAATAGAAGACCCTGACTAGTAGGAGCCAGATTTGATTACTGAATTGAGCCCAAAATCAGAACATCTGACGCTCAGCACTTTATGATGCTGAAAATAAGCTGTTGAGCTGTAAAGAGAAAAAAAAGACTTAAAGGTACCAGGTTTATTCTGGACAAAGGGAGGCTTCATTTAGAGTTGGTGACAGTGTTAAATGTGTCTGGAGTTGAAATGACAAAAAAAAGCATCTTCAACAAAAGGTCAGCAGTACATTTTAAATATATACTTATTGGATTGTTTTATCTTATCCCAGTGAAAGCTTGATGCACTGATTTTAGGTACTTTTTAAAATAAATTGGGGGGAAAAGAACATTTGTAGGCTACTTGGGGAGACAGCGTTCATTGATTTTATTTAAATTTTTTTACCACTTGGGGGCAGCAAATAACACACAGCACTGATATATTATCACCTTAGTTAGCAAAGTATTGCTTATTTACATATTTAGCATACAAAATTCATATGGAGTCGTGTTTCCGGTCACCTGACAAATGTAAGTCTGATAGTGGCCTTTTAGCTCTGTTTTGGTTCTCACTAGAGTTGTCACGATATCTAAGTTTCACTACACAATTACCGTGGACAGAAAAGATCATAATACCGTTTTTAATAAAATAATAATATCAACAGAACATTTGAAAAAAAAAAATGAAAGTAATGCAACGCACTATCATAGTAGCTAGCTATGGCATTGGCTTTAGTGCACCTACGCTGTCGGTGTCTACCACAAAGTGAGAACGGGATGTTTACACAATATTATCATACGTATGTGTATTATTAAAACCATATAAATATTTCATTATTAAAAATAGTACCATTATAGTCAATACCAGTATATCATGACGGCCCTGGGCTCAGCGAAAAGGTCCAGTGTGCATAGATTTAGGAGGATCTATTGGCAGAAATGGAATATAATATGCATAAATATGTTTCCATTAGTGTATAATCACTGGAAAATAACAAGTGTTGTGTGTTTGGTACCTTAGAATGAGACAGACGGTCGCCATGCTAAAAACATGAACTCTGAAAGGCCCACAATATGCTACCCAGTTAGCTACCCAGCTGCCTACAAGGTTAGAAACTAGCTGGTAAACATAGTGGGAGCATCTAGACATTTCTCTCAATGTCAATTAATGCAGTTTTAATTCATCCTTGTGGACATTTCCATTGTGTTTTATTCTGCATATATGTCATTTTAGTATTTTATAGATTAAAGCTTTCTCTTTTTTATTTTCAATGTGGGTACAACTTTAGTTTTATGTACCCCGTATTGAATATAATAAATACAATATTTTATTCAACAGAATAGAATATATACAAAATAAATCATATGAGTAATGTATTTAAAAAGACCAAATAAAAAGAAAAAAAAGTGCTCAGTGCAATGACCCTGCAGAGCCACACCACTGAGCTTTACAGACTTTTTATTCACAGTGTCCATGGCAACAAGAGCCTTGGAGACTTGTGTCAGGGTAGAGGAGGGTCAGCCTTTGCAGAGAGTTTCTCCATCACGTCCTCGCTGACGCTGCTGATTCCTCATTCTCTGTGTTATCCGGTTGACTGACAGTCTTGATGAGAAGGGAGAGAGTCGTAGTAAAGTGCTGCGCAGTGTCTCAGCATGTCCATCCACCTACCCAACCCCCAGCAACACCCCATGTTGTTCCTCAAGTTCTTCAAACAGATTCATGTTTGAGATGATGACCTTTCTCTGGAGAAATTTCATATTTGAAGTGAGCTTGCGGCTGCGCTGCATAGGCTGCAATTACCTCGCCGTCCTTCCTTCCTTCAGTTGACATCCCGGTGCAAAGTGTTCAAACAAGGTGTATTTGAGGGAATTATATCTCAGTAGCTCAAAGACCCTGTCACAGTCCCTGGTGTGCTTCAGAGCGTCCTCAAACATATGACTAATAGCATAATTCTACTGTATTTAATTCTCCAGAAGGTTACTCTGATATAAGGCTTCACTCTCATCATTATCAACCTAAAATCTTCCCATGGGAGGAAAAAATCTGATTAGATGGAGGTCTGAAGGGTTTAATGTGGGTCTATTTGGAGGTTAAAAACATCAGAGAGGCCTCATTATCTATTCTGCTGCATTACATCTTCTCTTCGCTCAAGATAGCAAGTCACACACTGCAGGAGACAGAACATCTGGTCTGACAAGAAACTAACACAGTGGGAGAAAAAGCGCAAGTGCATTCATGGGTCTGCTCGAGTGGGCAAATATTTGTGGCGTTTAGGAAAAAACACACATGCCAGGCACTGTCCTCACCTTGTCATCAGCTGTCATGTAGCACCAGGTCTGACGAACAGCTTTAGCCGCAGGTACAGAAATAGAAGATGCACACGCATACATACAGAGCCATTATTTCCACTGAGCCATGCTGGTCTTCATTCCATTTTATGGACCGTAAATGATGTAAAAAGATGTCTTAATATGGTAATGACAGAATATTTCCTTCCACCGCTGTGGCAGGACTTTGACAAGAATTCCTTAAAGTGCTCTGAAAAATGGAAACAACCACAATCCCATAACAACCGGGCAAACTCCATCTACTGATGAAGATAATGTGACATGACTGCACGCTCCAGAACAGCAATTAAATGGACCTTGCAGTTGGATCTTTTCCTCCGTTTTTGGTTGTGATTGTGTCAAAACAAAAAAAAGACTTTATATGGAGACTAAAAAGCTGAAAACAATAAAATACTAATTTTTCATACCCAAAAACATAACATCAGAACTTTCCTCGTGATCACAGAATAATAATTAGTGTTATGTTGATCATAAAATAATTACTTGGCATCACAAGAAAACAAAACGAGGAAGATGATTATATGCATGTGGAATCCGGCCTTCCATAGATGGCAACAGAACACTGAAAGGTTTTGTACACTCATAATTGAATCTAAGGGCCTTTTCACACTTGAACATTCGAACCAATGTTTTTGTTATATTGTTTTAGTTTCACATTGCAATTATGTGACATACATGACATACTACACCTACATGAGCTGCATCTCCCTATACTAGCAACTGCTTGGATTGTGGCATTGTTCTCCCGTCCTCAGTCAGACATTTTGTGAATTTTTGCCAACAGATTCTTTGTAAAGTTGTTGGCCCAAATGTCAATTAAACATTTGGTCTCCTCCTCTCCCCATGTGCTTTTCTTTTACTGGTTCTAATGATAGTCTGCCAGAACTTCCTGTAATTGGTCCAAAAGTCAGAATCTTCCAAAAAACATTTTGAACACTACAAACAAACCATTCTTTTTGATCTGAACCTCTTTTCATCGGACCAGGGTTCAGTTGCCTGGTCTGGACTGTGGTCTGGGGAACAGAAGTATTGAGTAAAAACCCATTTCAGGCACTAGTCCGGGGGAGGTTTTCCCTCCAGTGCTTTTAGTTTGGATCAAACTGAAAAGTCAGTTCAGACCAAACATGGTAGGTGTGAAAGACCAATACGATCAATCAACTTGTAAAAAGGGCTAAAAATAAAACTGATTGATCATGAAAGCTTTCTTGTTTGTTGCACAATATCTTATTGTCCCACCTGTTAAGAACACATGACAAGAATAAAGTCACAAACAAGTCAGGAGTGTTACATTTTATTTGGTCTTATCTCTTTTTGAGCTTTTTCCTTTGTTTTTTTTTTTTTCCACAGGTTAAAACCCATTATAATAGTCAAGAGAAATAAAAACATTTTTCACATACTGTATACAGAAATAGTCCTCTTGACACACAACAATAAAAACAGTTGATTAGGCCCAGCCCAGTGCGAGATTTCACAAAAATGCAACAATAACGAATTTCCAAAGCCCGACGACCGCAAAACCTCTAACTCGTGTGAGCAGAGACAGTTCTGAGAGAGATGTAAAAATGGCTGCCAGGGCAATGCAACAATTGCGTTATCACATCGCCTAGGTTGTAATAAAACACAAAATAGACACGGAAATGAATCTGGAACAATTACAATAAAAGCAAAATAGATACAAAGACAGAGAGGAGGTCAACCTTGCCTACCACTTTAAGGTAGTGGCAAAATCCTCGTCTCTATCTAGCAGTTTTATGCACATAAAAAATCAGTATGGGTGCCCCTAGGGGACATTAGACTGCGATTTAAGTTTGGGCTTTTGCTGCAATGTACACAAAGAACCAGATTTCAAGCTCTACCAGGCAATTCTGCTGAATTTTCTGCTACACACAAATACTGGGGCTTGTAGAGGAATCATTATGATACAGATTTGGTCGAATTGAAGAACTGGAATGTAAAGTGAATCTGCCTCATGTGAAGCACCCATACACACATCTTAAATACTCCAGTGAAAACCTATACAATGTTTGTTCATATGAAGCAATCAATCCATCATCCTAATGTAGACTGCGTCCATGGCCATCTAGAAAGAGAAATAGTTTTGATCCAGTGTGTAAAAAGATGGCCACTTATAAATATCTCTCTCCCCCGCCCCCCCCTTATATAAATTTTGGAAATGTCCTTTGCTGGCTGGTAGGAAGCTGTCAGAAGGAAAAGCCTTTTACAGTACTGTGATGCCGTGAGTGGAAGAGATTTGACCAGTGAGTCATGGGGATTTGTACCATCCAAACCGTTTCAAATTGCCTCTGTGGATCATTTAGAGTTCAGTTATTTAAGCCCAGGCATGAGCACCTGAAAGAGATCACCTACTGCTAAATACCCTCAAGCCTCAGTTAAATCTTTTACCCTGAATTATATTTGTGCCTTAGAAGACAGTGATAAGGTTAAGTGTCAGCAGTAGACTTAGCCCTCCTACTACCATCATAGCACGTATTGTGGATGTTCACGAGACGGAACCCGGACATTTTAGTCACTTATAATAATTTTTGTTATAACATCGGCCATTTGGCGTGATGCTGCAGATTTAATTGGAATGTCCAATCACACCTGCCTATCATTGTTTTGTCTACAATCTATCCATCCACCCATCCAACTGCCTGAGAGACTTAAATGTCCATGTTCCATCAAAATTTGACCAAAATCAATTAATTTCACTGGAATCAGAGCAACAACTTCTCTACGCAGAGGTGAACTGAAATCAAGCATAGTTTTTTTCTTATATTTGAACTTTGACATGCGAATTCATGAGAGTGACCTATTTAGGTTTAGCTAAGCTTAAGCTTTGAGAGAACAAAGATCCCGAGAGTTCAAAAAGTTAGCTCACAGGGCTAGTTGGCAAGGCAATGGCCGGTGTCATCCAAATGAACTGACTGACCCCCGAAAAAAACTAGATTCATTAAACACGTCATGGGAAGAATGTTGTAAATACAAACTCATCTTCTTAGTGTTTTTAAGGCGAGGTGGGCACTCCTGGAGCAGCAAATAACTACATCACCAAGCTTCAAGGGCATCAAGTGGGTTGTACTCTCTGGTCTGACCTGGAACTATCTGATGCACCCTGACACGTAGTATGGCATTGTATGATTAAGAAAAATGCCAAGAATATCAGTTATTTCATTCCCCTTATCTGCAAACAATGTTGTAGAGACAACAATAAATCATTTTGCAGTCAGAGACACAAGGGCTGTTTACTCAATCAATTGGTTTGCAGTGCACTCATTCAACAAACCAGAAACAGAAATGTACAGATTGAACGGCTTTTCCAGGAAGATCACAAGGTAATTGAGTGTCAATAGCTAGGCAGAACAATAATCACAACCGTGAGGCTGTTGTGTGCTTTCAAGTGGAGGGGGGGAGGGAGTGTATGGGCCTTGGACTTAATGACCTCATAGATAAAATCCATGTTTATTTTCTCAACAGAGAGCCAGCCTTCTCCGAGAGCCGTCACTGTGGTCTTGGAAACAAATTGGTCCTCCTTTCATGGCTCCCATTCATTCGGTTTTCGTTGTTACAGAGGACAGCAGATGGTGACCTTGGATGCACAGACTGAAAAGAATTAGGAATAATACTCACACTTTGGGAGACCGAGCATTAGCTTACGCACCTGGCGGCGCCTCTCGCAGACATGGCTTTTGTCCACATCCCTATCGGGATGTGCAATTCCTGTACAGTCAATGAAAGGTCATATTTGATCATTTGGTCTCGGCCTGTTAATGCCAAACAAAGGCCCGGGCAGGTGTTTCAGTTTAATATGAGCCAGAAAGAGCAATAATGTGTCTCTGGCGCTGAAGGCTGGCTGTGAGACAGCTAAAACGAGGCTGATAACCAGGTATATTTGTAACCTCCACTTAATTGCACACAAGCAAGCAAAGGCAGCAGAGGTAAATGGGGTGAAAGCCGCTGAAATGCCAGGCCATCTATTTCGTCATTTCAGAATTCACTCCTCGCTGACCCGCCAAGGTAAGATTTCATCAATAAAATAAATAGGACACGTGTACAGCTTGATTTTTTTCTCCCTTCATCCTTGTTGAATCCTTCTCCAATTTTATCAGTAACTATGAAGGAAACATGATTTAACCAGAGCTGCAGTAGTTTAAGAAATACAGTGCCCTCCTGACTTGACTTGCTGACTTCCTTAAAGTCAAACACTAGTAACCGGTATGTTTGCATGCACCCTGTGCTCGGTTACTTTGAGTAATCAGAACACGGTGACTGTTCAATAATACAAGTGAGTATTCGATGGGATTCAATTTTCCCCCTAGTAACCGTGGTTCACTTGTTTCGGTCTGGGAGCTTGGTTAGTTTACCCAGAAGGCTGTGCAGTAACAACATTCAGCCTTTCTCAGCATGAGACCCTCTCTGTATTTCAAGCTGATGGGTTTACACTTTAATGTTACATTCTCAGATGCAGAGTGAACCACAGTCAAACTCCTGCAGATATAACTAGAGGAGTTCAGTTAATTAAGTTTTAATTCATTTTATCAACTGATTGGTGTTTTTAACCAACTGAGTGGAGGTTTACGGTAAAGTATAAAGCTTTATATTTCTTTGTACACTTTCAGTTATATTGCTGAAATGTCTGACAACCTTTAACTCTGTTTTTGTTCTCCACACTACACAGCAACCAAAACGAAATGCGTTATGCCGCCAACATCTTGAGTCTGCCAAGGAACTGATTAGAATTCCCAGGGGAGGCACTGGAATTTTGGAATTATTTAATGTTTACAAGGGGCTGGCATTATTAATTCCAATGTTATTAGAGATTACTGAATATCCCTGAGTACTATTTGTCCCATGCAAACCCATAAGCCATAAACATGACCACTGCTACAATTGAATCAATGGCTTAATCAGAGCAAATCAGTTAATTAGTATGCATGTAAACATATCCGCTGTGAACAAAGCCGAATTAACCTTTAAGAGCGAGTGTAACCTCAATGGATGGTTGCATTAGGCAACACTTTCAACTGTTCCCCCTTCACAAAGCCAGGAAATAACTAGCTTGCAACATGTTTTTTTTTTTTTTTTTTTTTCATCTAGATAATAGCTCTGATTTTTCACCTCTGAAATTCTAAAAAACAACCACCGTTCACAAGTAGCCCCTTGGCGTGATGAGGGGCTGGGCTTTGGGTTCCTCCACTGTGTGTCTCATTAGCTTTTATTCATGTAATGTATTGACCATTTGCCATTCGCTGATTAGGGGCAATGGTCTGAGCTTGAACTTTGGATTTAGATCATCAAATCACGTCTGCTCCCTGCCGCTGCGGGGCTAAAAGTGGATCACCGGTGGCCAGATATCGCTCTCTCCTGCAGAGAATTCACTACCATTCTCCCCGTCAGTTTCTGCTCGGGACACTGATTTGTGATGACGGATGGGGCGATGCCTGGAAGAGCAGAGCGTCACAAACAACTCATCAGGACTTCCTTATTCGAGTGCCTGCTGTCAGCTCCAGCAGACGACTGGCAGTTATGCTTCCTAAATCTGACAGCCAAAACCAAGAATCGGACGTCCATGTCCACAAAAGACTTCCTAAAATGTGTCCCATTTATTCCCTCAGCCACTAAACTACAGTTCTGTCAGATTCAGATTACGCCTTAAAAGCCGAGATAGGAGAATTTGTTATGTATAAAATAGCATACATTTGAAATATTCCAATAAATTTCTATATACAGAAGGGTTTCTCCCCACTTCAAATGAACCACTTCGAAACAAATACCCACTTTGACAATATGCAATAACTTAATCATATGTGAAAAGTACTGTGACTTAGATTATTGCAAGTAAGATTTCATGAAGTCAATCACTCACCATGCGCAAGCTTAATGGGGAATGGCAGGTAACACTTTCCGACATCAGGTCTGAGGGAAAATTAAAGTCTAGCACTGAGCGAACAAACAGACAAGACATGAGTGGCAGGTTGAAGTGGATACTTGACACACACACAGAATTTGTGACAGAAATAATCTGCCAGACGTTTCAATCATCTCCATTTCCTTCATCTAGCTTTTCTCCTCACGGAGCTCTGTTGACAATAACAGCTATCTGAACCTAATGACTATCAGAGGATAGCTCTTGTGGCTTTGTGTGTTGACATGAAGAGACGAGGCAATAACTCATCACTTGTCACATCTGTAAAATGTTGGTGAGGAGGACAAGAGAGCCAAGGATGGTAGGGAACACTGCTGACAGAGACAAATTCTATATTAAACCTCCAACTTTTGCACGACATGAAGAAAGATCCACAGTGCTTACGTGTGGCTGAATTGTAAGACTGGACCTGAGGCCAACATAAAATAACTGTTTGGATGATCCTGTCCGATTCTGAATGGTGGCTTATACACTTGCTTTTACCTGTGTTCAGGGAATTGGATGTATTATTTCTAACTGCATGTGTCTGCAAGATGTACCTGGGCTTTAAAGGGAAACCACTTAACTACGATACACCGGGTGCCGCTTTGTCTATGCTCCGAATAGTAACCTCCTCAAGTGTTGCCATCTTTAGTTCTGTTCAGGTTGTGCAAATCTCAAGCTCTCAAGAAAGATATTCCGGCCAGGGAAGATTCGGAATTGACTTGCCCCCTCGTGGGTATAGCTTTTTAACCCTCCAGGTAAGTGCTAACCATGTAAATAATAATAATGAGTTCATTCGACAGTTTTTGTATCTTTCTGAAACAGATCTGACCAACCAAATCTAACATTCACGCCCTTTTTATTTTGCCATTGCCCATTGCTGCCCATTGACACAACTACTTCCACCAATTTTCACGCATGCCCAAGTGCAACTCCATGATCACTTTCAAGAAGAAACAGAAATGTGCGCTTTTATGCCCATTTATACTATTCATCAAGTCTCACCCCTCTCTATAAGGACAGGCTTTTCACCCCATCTTCAACTGCGGCCATTCAAACCATTTCCATTTCCTTTCCTGGATAGAAACCTGAATTGAGTGCTCTGCAGTGTCAGGACAAAACTGCCCTCAAGAAAACTTTCCAGAGAAGAAGGAAGCGAGGGAGTAGGACTATGAAGAAACAGAAAGACAGAACGGAAATCTCCCTCATCACCTGAGGGGGGAAGGAGGTAGAAGAGGGTGAGCCTCGACTGTGGAGATTTCATCCGGTCTGCAGCTCAGCAGCCAGTGGCAACAGAGAAAAAAAGGAAGGAAAGGGAGGAAAGACAGCTCAACCTGTCTTTGAAACTTAATGCATAAAACAGGGCACGGCTTAAATCGAGACGTAAGCCGATGAAGGAAGCGACTCGATACCTTCCGAGGAGGACGCAGGGCATTTTCGTAACGTTGGGGCAAATTAATTAACCAAATATCTGTTAATGCTCCCTGCTCTTATCAAGAGGCTAATTATCACTATCAGCCTCCTCTGTTCGTCAGAAGGATTATTAGGCTAATCACAAAGCTTTCCCCTTTGGAGACGAGGTTTTCACTCTTCATCAGAACAAAGCCGTTATTGTCTTCCAATGACATGGTGTCAGTGATGAACAAAATCAGTATTAGCACCTCGTAATGCTCCAGCAAAGACGCGGGTAACGGGACAAGTTTGTGCCATGCCTAAGTTGGTCTCTTTCAGTCGCTTACATGCTTGACCTACACTAATTATGTTAATAGACTACATGCTTTAGAACCAGCTGACCGCCACCCCGGGATACTGTTGTGCATCACCTGTCTGTGATGTCTATCCCATTCCAGGATTATTTTGTGGTGAGGTATTTGTTGCTGCATCCACAGTCCCTCAACCTGCCTCAAGTCATACATTTCCCCGGATGCTTTTTGAAAAACCAGAGAAAGTGCCTCAACATATTACATTTAGTATGTAGAACGATCAGCGATGATAACGATTTTAAAAGAGCAAGTTTTTCAGATGCTGCTCCAGTGCATTCTGGTCTGCTGAGACTGCTGTTGGTGGAAAATTAAGATTTCAGCGTCACTACATTTCTCCCTATATTAACATTCACTGTTGATACTACTACTTTATCTGTTCTGGAAGTATCTCAACATGACCTCACAGTTATCCACAGGATCCTACCAGATCTTTTTAGCAGTGTTTAAATGGTTTAGGATGGATTTCTAACAAACTGGGAGGGACAAGAGTTTAGAAGCCCTGAGAGTCTTGCAAAGCCAGCCAACATCTCACAAGATCTGATTGAGACTGATGAGATGTGTGAGCAATCAGCCAAAGTTTTGAAGTGACCCATCACCAACCATCTTACATGTTTAGCTTAGCTGAGCACAAAGACTGGAAACAGGGGGAAACAACTACCCTGGCTCTGTCCAGAGGGAACAAAAGTAACCTCGGAGCACCTCTAAAGCTCACTAACACATTATATCTTGTTTGTTTAATTTGTTTAACCTTAGGGTTACTTAATGCTATTAAACAAACAAGTTATAATGTGGGAACTTTAGAGGAGCTTGAAGGTTGATTTTGTTACATCCAGTCAACAGATATCAATATGTTCTTTTCAAAATGTCAAATTAGGTGCTATACATAGGCATAACATGTAGCATGATATTTAACTGTCATAGCTCATTTCTGGATCATATTCTGTCAGAAACTAAATTTCACGAGAAATTTAAAATGTTTAGAACAACCACAATGGATTTCCCAGTTCAAGAAGAAAGGCCTAGTGACAGCTGAGTGAGTGGTGCCTTTGTCCAATCAGGTCACAGAGAGAAGTGTTCATCATGTGGTCCAAGACAGTGTGAAAATGTGGGCTGGCTTTGCGGTGACTCTGGTGGACTGTACAAATACAGTATTCACTAAAAACTTCCATACTGCCATATTTGCAAATAGTGAGTATTTGGTTGAACCTTCCTACAGCATCAGACGGGTGGTGGTAAGACAATCTGGGTGATGTTAAAAAAGATAACCACAGAAAAGCACATCATATCATGTTTAAATACTGTGTCAGCTCTCTGTGCTGTCCAGTGTGGCAAACCCCACCCGTCTGGCACTCCATGGAGGTAAAAACAATTTATTTGCAAACACTCTTTGTCCCAGCCCTTACACTGTCACAGTGGCATTCTTTGGCATATGAAGGGAATGCAGAGGGCTCCCCCGTCCTGTTTCCTGTGCTGTGTCGCCTGCCAGCCAAATGAATCTGTCCAATCCCTGGCATTTCCCAGGGAATGTGACTGGAATGTTATCTGCTTCCAAGTGGAATGCCTGGGTCATGGTTTTGTCTTGGATTTCACAAGTGGCCTGGACTATCCACTCTGAGTGCTTTCTCCCATAATGCAACAGGCAGATGCTGTTAAAAAAAAAAGAAAACAGCAAGCTTTCCTTGAACAATGAGTCTAGACATACATGCACACGCACACGCAGACAACATTTTCTTCCACAGAAATGCTAAGCTGATTTTCAAATTTAAGCCAAATTCGTAGCATCTTCCCTACGCACCAGATTAACCATTCAAGGAACCTTGAAAGGATATATATTAAAAACACTTCACGAAATAAGGCACTCCAATTTTCCATTGTCCTGAATGCTTTAAGTCTGCAGAGAGGTAGAGGCAGATGAAGCTGTGCAAGTCGCCTTATCCACCTCTGCATTGTCACAATGCTTCAAAGGTAGGGGGGAGATGAAAGCAGGTGATATGAGCAGTCTGATAGAATCTGAAGATGGGACTAGTGATCGGTGTTCTGCTCCTTCAAAGGGATAGAGAAACAGAGATAGAGAGGGAGAATGAAATGGGCACCAGCTATTGGTTCAAAGGCAGCAATCGCACAATCAAATGTACCACCTTTCACTGGTTTATGGTTTCCAAAGCAGTAGGCTGGCTTATAAATAGGACCTGCAATGATTAAGGCTCCCATGGGGGAAACCTCCCTCAGTGGGTTGAGTGATGGGTGAGCCTTTTTCAAAAGATTTCAAATCCTGGTTAAGATGTAGGACATAGTAGTAGAAGGGGTCCTGGGCTGTGTTCCTGTGATAAATGCCACAGCCTTGCCACAGGTTTAGAACCTGTCATCTCTGAGTTGCGTCGGGGACTTGAAGGGCTTGAGCCCAAGTGTCCTGCGAGGGTGAGCTCTCTCTTTGGTGCCATCCAGGGGCTTGCTGCAGGCCGCCCAGCCCAGGTCAATGAGGGGCGAGTCAGCCGGGTTGAGGGGCACTATGCGGAACGAGGGCAGCGTGGGCGAGCCGTTAGTGGAGCACGGGGCAGAGCGGGAGGTGGGAAAGGGAGCTGAGAAGGGGTCAAAGGGTGAAGCTGTGTCCGAGCCACACGAGGGGTCAGCCTTGAGGGCGAATGGGTCGCAGTCAGGCGAGGGGAATGGGTCACAGTTGTGGAAAGGGTTGGTAGGGGAGGGCTGGTAGCCCAGAAGGTTGCTGTCCGACCGGTTCGGGCTGCGGCCGCCACTTGAGTTCCCACCACCAGCCGAGATGAAGCTCCAGGGGTCGATGCGTTGGCGGATGGGAGACGGGCGGGGACGGGGGATGACGCTGACTTCCAGGCGGCGGGTTTTGGGGCTCCAGAGGGCAGGGTTGGGGTGGAGAGAATAGGGCACTGACGGCTTGTCATCAGAGTCCTGTGTATCTTGGCACAAGGGCAGGTCCAAAACTGGAGGAAACAGAAAGAAGGAACATTTTAAAAAAAGCATTCCAGCTTATTACCCCATAAGGTTGAGGGACATGCAAGAGACAACAAATAGAAGGGTCAAAATCAAGGCATATCCTAAAGTTTAGTCCCTAATATGAGTCAAGCTTTAAAAACACTGGGTCCTACATTTCCCCTAATGCAACTCAATAACATCTTTCATTAGACCGTCCCACCTTTATCATTCAAACTCCGTGCCCCCAGTTTATTTCGCAGGTTTTCTGTCAAATATTCCAATCAAAATAACCCTCATGACATCACTATGACATAATCAGGGTGATTTTTCTTGGACTTTAGCAAGCTCCCCCAGAGCCACAGGAGACACATACAGCTGTTTTCACAGACTGAGTAGTATTCCCTGTGACAAGGAAACTGAGCTTTATGTGTAACATAAAGTAGAGGAGCTCCCCTTTAAAGAAAGACACAACGTCAGAGAAAGGCTTAATATTAACTAAGATATTAAACCTATTCATCATCCTGCCCTTCACTTTCTTGCTTGAGGAGGCTTTAATTGTTAATCTGCAAATTACTCTCAAACTGCTGTAGTGTTGCCCCGGTGTTCTTTTATACACTCCTCTCCAATCTGAAATGCATTTGCTTCGTAATATTTTGCAAAACACATAAACCTGTATGATGAAATGGATCCAAACAGAAACATGAAAGTGGTACATTATTGTAGCAAAAAGAAATTGAACAATCACCAGCACGGAATGTTGATGCAATTAGCTTAAATTAAGTATAACATAGCAGCGCTGTGTAACTAGTTGACAGAGCAACAAGCAAACGGCAAGTGTAAATGAGCACCGACAAGAACATTAAACTCAGAATAAATCATCTTAAATGAACATTTGCTACTTCCAAACGTGACGTGTCTGTCAAATGGCATTATTTACATCGACGCCAACTCTCAGAGACTGCTAAACCACAGCACTCAGCCGACAAGACAGTGCAATCAGGAGTCACAGGGCAGCAGACAAAAAACAACAGTGAAGGAATCCTCTGCATTCATCTCTCTCTTTCAAGCAGCCATTCACCGCCAGCAACCTCGTGGCAGTCTCTCTATGCATCTGAGTCATTACAGTCGATAAACATAATAAGATGTTTAGCTAAAACACTTGCGGTTTAATTATGTGTGGCTTTTTTGCCTCTGTGCGCCGGATGTAATGAACGCGTGCAGTTTGTGAGATTACGGTTGTTAGCAGCAGAACAGGCGAGGCATGCCTGCTCAGTACCTGGGGGCAGAGCTGTAAGAACCTCTCTGTGGAGAATCCAAGGCTTTGTGAGTCAAACGGACCAGATATAGAGTGTGAAATGTTACCATAGGGCACTCTTAAAGCCCTCGTAAAGCCCACTCGCTCTTGAAACAACCAATGCCCACGCATCCGTCATTACGGCTCTAAACTGTGTCAGTGCTTAGACGGAATGCATATTACTCTTTGGGGAAAACGTGAATGTACTGTAAAAGAAAGTGTTGCAGATATGCAGATAATGTCTGTTAGCATGACACTTACATGAATCAAAACAACAGTATAAACATGCCCCACGAGAACTGAATACTTTCACATGTCATTTTGTGTGTGTGTGGGGGGGGGTAAATGAATGCTAATCTGTCTTTCATGAGAGATCATGTGTGCATCCTTTACAGATGGCACATAGGCACATGTTTGATATGCCTATTTATAAAAATCTAATTTAACTGGAGTGCTGAGCTCCAGCCAAACTCCCAAACTATCTGAGGAGGTGTCCAGAAAGACACTGCGGTGGCGGTGAAGTCAGGAATAGATTATTAGCAATTTTGAATCCAGCACTTTCTGTCTGCATGACCTCAGCTGTGCCGCCGGATGTTTTGCATTCATCTTTAACTTTGCAATAAAAGAGAACTCTGACTAGAAAAAAAGGGGAAAAAAACAACAGAGGATTGGATGCTTGCTTTGCTTAGCAAGTATTAGCAGTGAAGTATGGAGGGCCAGCTGTTACCTGAGATATGCAAATAGCTGAAGACAAGCTTTGATGTAAATGAAAAACCCTGTGCAGAATTGAAGCTTCCCCTGTGCCAGAAAGATCTTGCTAAAAAAGGTACAATACTAATTTTGAAAGAACTGTGAGGGAACATTGTCATGCTGAGGAGGTACATTATTTAAGGTAAAACGTTGGATTTAATTTTGGCGTGCGGCCTCCAGAAAAAGCAAAACATGGTTAGTGCTCTGAAGGAAATGCAGATGAATCGCGCAGATAAATTAAAAACCAAATCATGGATGCAATCTGGAGAGGAGACTGTAATTTTAAAAAGGGCAAGCTTCAGTATTGCACTCATAAAGTTGGGAGTCTTGCAAAAGACAAATAATAAAAAGAATGGTCATGATCAAAGCAGCAGAGGCCACGAAGGCTGACTTTTATGCCATACTATGAGTCACACTCCCAGAATACTGGATGTTCTACATTGCCCATAATGCAACTTGTGTGTGTGTTCATACTAACCTACTGCCTACTACATACTCAATCAGTATGTGCTGCATACTGTCTCCTAAATGAAATGAATACGATAGAGTAGATAGAAATGTTGCTGTAGTCATCTGTTGTCTGTCTGACTCACTGCGGGGTGGGAGGGGTCTGTGGCAGGCTGGCAGGAAGCCCCTCAGGGCTGGCTTGCTTGCTACCCCCGCTGGCACTTGTGGATGCTCTCAATTCCGAGTACGTTTGAGCACATTTTCAAGTCGGCCTCAATTAAAAAAAACTGCCAACATTCGAAATTTACACATTTGATTTGTCGCCTCAAACTTTGTCAGAAGTGAATTCATTTAGTGGTGAAATAACACACGGAAATAGTAAAAAACTGGCTAGAACTGCCACATGCTCAGAAACTCTTGCTAATTTAGTATACATCAGGGTATTTCTCACATACTACGCAGTTGAAACGAACTACGCACCCGATCTGACCTCATACTGAGTATAATTAATATGTTAGTATGCAACTTTGAACATACCCTCAGGCTTTCTTTTAACAATACATACATTCTCCCAGTGACTAGTTAACCGACTATGACTTGTGCCACTGGTAGAATGACTCCTTAAGGTGAAAAAGTCAGACTTACCTAGCTGAGAGGTGTGCAGGCCTTGGCTGGACCTCCTCCTCCTGTCAGCTCTGTGCTCCCAGGCCTCACAGCCCAGCTCCCCGTTAGTTGAATAGGAACTCGGGGTCCATTCCCCTGGGCTGGCCCCACCGTGCTGCAGGGGGGTCTTGGGGCTCTGCGGACTGTGCAGCATCTGTGGCGTCCGGTGGCTGCTCCTCTCACGGGGGTTCGGCGGAGGCGGCGTCAGGGGCAAGGGCTTCAGTTCTTGGTACTGCAGGGCTAAATCCAAGAGCGGCCTGGGGAGCTGCTCGGAGGTGGAGAAAGTGATGAGATCGTCCACTACTGGGGGGTCTGAAATGAGGGGCTTAGGGGAGGAGATCTCTGGTTCGGAAGGGGTGCGGTCCCCTAGGGAAGAGAGGTGAGTTCGAGGGGGCACCCTTGGGGGAATATCCAGGCAGCGACCTAGTCCTATGGAGGCCAGGAGGGAGCCACTGCCCAGCAGGGCCTGGTGGGTGCTCTTAATGTGGCCACCGAGGGAACCCCTCTCAGGCCTGGGGGAGCCAGCCGGGGAGGAACCCCCTTCCTCGCTGCCCGAGTCTCGCTGAGGTAGAGGAAGCCGCAGGCTGTCCTTCACTGAGGAGCCTGCACAGAGAGAAAAATGGATTTTTAACTTTTAAAAAGACAGAGAAGGAGAAAGAGACAAGGCATTTATTATTCATTTAGCTTTTATTCATAATTCACACTCATGCCAATGTGAACGGTAACAGCAGCTAATGGAAGATATGTGGCTGGCGGTTAGGCTTGTGATGGAGGGCATCGTGTACCGTTCTGAGCAGGGGGGTTTGGAGTGGAGGGTCTGTACTCCTCAAAGTCATCCTTGGACTCTCCATTCTCATTGCTGTCCGACTCCAGGAGCTTGGCCCTCATCGACAGACTGGCAGTGCAGAGAAATTGAAAAACATTTCAACAATCAAACAAATGTGCTGACAAATGAAGTTGAGTGCAATCAAATCCATGTAAATATTAAATTTTTACACGTAAAAGAAAAGGGCAGTCTTGCTGTACCTGCTTTCCTGGGGACTAAGGCGCAGGACTTTAGGGCTTTTGGGGCTTTTTGGGCTCTGGGGCCTCCAGTGGGGACCCAACCTCAAGTCTCCATTGGCTTGTTTAAGAGATGGGGCCTCCAGGGGCCAGACTGAGCTTAGGCCAAATGTCCTGCTGTTGTCACTGGGACTGACTGCAGGGAAAAAAACAGGGTTAAATTAATATTAGCTTGTGTGTTATCGGTATGCATACCGCTTAGCTGTATTATAATGAGGTGAGCATTTTTAAACGGCAGGTTTCACCAGTAAATCGACACAGCCTTGCAATCATCTCCAACACAATGACCTTTAATTGACTCCCACTACAGCTGGAATTCATGAAAATTCAATGCGCTTTTCACATTTTTGCAGTTTAAGTCCTGCCTAACTCAAAAACAGTGTTAAGATAACCTCATCATGTGAATGTAGTCTAGATAGTGAGCCCCACATGGTTCACAGAGCAGAAAGTGCGAGAAGAAGGAGCCAAAGTCACCCGGGAAATGATGTGAGGAAGGGCAGAGTGCTAACAAAAGTTGGGATTTCACCTGCCATTCATACTCTCTACCCAGGATCTGGCAACACATCTCATCCATCCATCCTCCCCACCAACTGGCTTGTGCTGCTAACGCAAAGTGTGTGAACGTTGTGTGAGCCTTCATTCACACAACAGCATGTATATTATGCCACAACACCTGCCAACATACAGTCTCCATCACACCCTATAAAAAGCTCTATGTATTGAAACTTCTCAACAGAACACCCACCCTGTTAGTCAGAAGAAGAGACAAAAGTGGTACGGGCACCGTTTTAAAAGAGAAAACTTTAAACCTACTCTTTTATTTCAGTTTAGTTCTGGCGCTGCTTGTTTCCAGTGATTCTCTCATTCATGCCATTTCATTTCAGCCTCAGAAATGAGAGAAAGTAAATATGCTCTCTGAACGGACATGTATTATTTTCTTTGGCCTCTACTACACCGAAGGCCTGGCTGGTGCACTTTGCTTCCCATCACTCTCCAGCACAATGTTTTCAAAGCAAGCACAGAAGTCAGGTGATAGTGTCAGCATTGCAATTTCATCAAGATCAAACCGTGGCTTGAAAAAACTTCCCCCTTTCCCAGCATATTCCTCTGTAAACACATTTTCCTTTTGCAATATGTCACCGTCAATTTCATCATGTTTTGATGGAATTTGTCTTGATAGTCGTAATACTTCTTGTATATTTCACAAGCGACTCACAAGTGCAAATATTAGGTGTGCATGTGTCAGGCTTAATATTGTCTGTCACCGGGAAAGAAAGTATAGAGAAAAGATTACTTTTGTTACACAGCTGGATGAGCAAGGTGACACTAATTTACTGCTATATACTGTATGAAACAAAGAGAGTCTGTGTACCGTCAGTATGGTAACATGCTCATAGTGACAATGCAAACATGCTGCTGTTTGGCAGGTATTATGTCCAACATCTTATTTTAGTGCGTTAGCATGGTAACATTTGCTCATTAGCACTGAACACAACGTCCTGGCTGATGGGAAAGGAACTGCCCATTGTTTTGATGTTCTGATTCACTAATCCAGTGAAATATTAACATGTACTTTAGGGGTTGGAGCAAAATTGGGTAAAAACGTTCACAGCTCCTTCAGGTGAATTTAAATAGCTTTTTTAAATTTCATTTTTTTTATTTTGTTATCATCAGGTCAAAATTTTGATTTGGCCAGTTATGACCAAACACATGTACCAAGGTTGAGTCCTTGCTGCAGCGGCTATGGGTTTGAGTCCGACCTGTGGCCCTTTGCTGCGTGACATCCCCTCTCTCTCTTCCCCCTTTCCTGTATATCTCAAAAACATATAAAACTAATGACATTCCCACTGGAGCGATGCCATTGTTCCAACAGCCCATTATTCCAAAACTCCCTACTTCAAAAAATGTCTCACTGGAACGAGAGACTGTTAAAGCCCACTGCTCCCAAAAATACACACTGTCCCTGGAGTTAATATCTTGGTGTATTTGGACATGAAGGAAAGGATGAAGTCAGGTGATCTTCCTCATCACGGTATGGGAACTTCTGTCGTTATGTTAACAATAATAAACATGCTGTTAACATTGTGAAACCATCACAGTTTGGTTAGGTCTAGGCAACAAAACTACTTGGTGAGGTTTAGGAAAAGATCATGGCTTGGGTTAAAATAAGTATGTTAGTCATGTCTGTGAAGTTACATTCGTAAGTTGGTAAATGTCCTTTCAGGGGGCCTTTGGAGCAATAGGTGCTTGTTTTTGGATCAACAAGGTGCCAAAAGAATGGGCTTTCAGTCCAGCGGGACATTTTTTCAGACTATTGGGGTTTCGGAATAATGGGCGGTCGGAACAAAGGCATGGCTCAGATGGAAATGTCAAAAGCTACTTCAATTCACCTTGAAGGGGATGTGAATGTCTATACCAAATATCGCTTCGATTCTTCAAGTAAATGTTGAGATATTTCACTGGATGAGGGAAGATGTTAATCTAGTGGTAGCCCTAGAGGAAAACTCAGGGGATCATCTCTGGGGACTGCAGATATTTAAATTTTATCCCAATTCACGGATGATTAGTTGAGATATTTCAGTCTGGACCAAAGTGGTGGACTGGCTGACCCAACCATCACTGCCATCCCTAGAGCTACGCCGCTAGCATGGCTAAAAATGATAGCTTTTACATCATCATATAAACATAGAAATGTAGAGAATTGTATACCTCGGGTACTGGAACTGGAATGAGGACTTGGAGAGAAGCACAAGAACCAAAGCTAATCCTGCCCCCACATATAGAAAAAATAAATGAGCATAGCAATATCCATACGCTGCCAATACATATGATACAGTTGTCCAATTCAAGAGAATATGGCACAATGAGAGACATTACTTCTAAGGCAATCATTCTGTAGGTTTCATTGTGCCCTCCAATACTGAATCTTGTTGAATGGAGCTCTGAGGACTAATGCAAATCAATTTGGCAGTTCTCTCGACAAATAAGTTTGGGAGGCCCCAGCAATAAATCACTGCTCGCTACTGAGAGGGCAAGCATAAATATCCACTAAACACATTTTAATGACAGGCACACTCATGGCTTAGTGACTGCCATTAAGGAAAGTCATTAGGAAATAAAGAAAACCAGCCCTCTATTTGATGAGTAAATGAAGCTGGCAGATGTTTTGGATTTACTAACCACTTTTACAGATAAATGTTTCACCGCAATTTGTGCTTTCATGTCAACCCCCGGTGGTAATTGTTTTGAAAAATCCCTTTCACTGCCTGTTGCTACACCACAAATTTCCTTTTGGGTTTTGTTAAGACGCCCCGTGACCTACTGGCTACAATTTCCCTCCGAAGGGAAACGATCTCGGGGCGTTTGTCTAAGAGCCTGACAAGCAGAAGAGTATTGTAAATCTCTGCCGCTGCTGCAACCCTTCTCAACTCCTTCTCCTGGAGCAATGAATTCCTCCCTGCTTATTTTTAATTCAGTAAACCGCACTGTAGCCACTACATGCATATAAAACCCTTTTCTGCCTGGAAAATAAAGCTCAATAGCTCCCCCCGCTGCAGCAACGAGATAACTGCAGGCAGGGGGAGCAGAGCAGGGCTGCAGTGGAAAAAAGCTGCTGAGAAGTGCTGAGCTGCTGAGAGGAAGTCAGATAATATTTGGACTGGAACAGACTGTTGAAAAGGGAAAAGGGTGTGTGTGAGAGAGAGAAAGCAGTAAGGCAGGGAGGGGGAGAGACAGAGAGAGAGAGAGGGGGCCCACAGGGAAACAGGGGAAGACAAAAAAGACGAGTGGGTGGTTGGGAGCACATGAAAGGAGAGAATTTGGAAACTCAAAGAAATAATGTTGCAACATAGTCTTTGTGTCCCTGCATGGAGGCGAGAGATCCCCAATTCTCTGGTTTTCTCTGGAAGCACACTCACACTGTGTACCTGTGCGTATGCATGTGTTTATCCAAGGGGGAAAATGACTGCACTCACGTTGGATTGCACGGAAACGAGGGCCGAAGGAGGGTGAGGAGCCCGAACCCAAATCAGGAGAGTTCCGCCTCTTCTCCAGGCCTGGAGATGCCTGCACTGTAATCTTGTGGATGAAATCTGCAACACACACACACACAGATACACACAAGACAGATGTTAGGCCACCTGGATGGTAGACACAAACCTGAACACAGTTTGGGTTTCCTCGCTCTACTTCACATTCATACATTCAAGAGTTGTCAGTGATCTTGAAGGTTGCTATGCTTTTTTTTTTTTTTTTTTTTGGCTTCCTTATTTCTCTAAAACAGCCTGTTCTGACGTTGATGGTAGCGGAAATTCAGTGTAATACATGTTCTCAGCTTGGTACCAAATGCTGCGAAGAAAGTGTTTCCTTAAGTAAAACTTATCCGCCTAAGCAGATTTCAGTAGCCTTATGTTACATGGCTCATTTCTGTTGCTGAGTGGGAACTGGCTATTTCACCTTCATCAGAGCAACGAACTGTGGCTAATAGCATGCTACTGCTACTACCTGCAACTAGCTAACACTGCTAATACCAAACTACAGAGCCCAGAAGGTGTCACAAGGGAAAATTCTATTTTAAAATGCGGGAAAAAAAACTCATTGACTTTTTAAAATGTTTCTCACTTTGGATCAGCAACCTGGTTTTATTTGGAATTAATTAATTCAAATGACTTAATCTGCCGCGTCGCTCTCTCTTATACAGCAACACACCTTCCCATATCCAGTACTTAAACCATTCATTTTAGGACAAAATGATATCTGCTGTCTTATAAAATACATTTAAGGGCTGTGGAAGGTGTATAACACTGTGTTTAACCATAAAAACCCTGAAGTAGATACAAATAAAACAGTTAAATCAAATGGAATTAAGGTGGTACACTATCATGACTCAGGATTTAAGAGTTTAAATTGCTAAACTGAAGGTACATGGACAAATTAACTACTATCAGCAAGAATTAGTCATTTGAGGGACTTAGGGTTAGGGTTAGGGGACAGTTAGGGTTAGGGGACAGTTAGGGTTAGGGGACAGTTAGGGACAGATTACGAGATTTGAAGAATGATTTTCGGAACACTCATCAGGCTGCTGGGCAATTAGCTACGAGCGGTGCTAGCATATAGCAGCAGTAGCAAGCTAGTACTTACCTGCTGCTGATAATGGAAAGCAACACTGCTAATAATGAGCTACACAGCCTGGTGGCTATCAGGAGGGACATTTTCTAATAAATGATTCTCTCTAGTTAGTAATTCATGTCCTGAAGTTACGAACCATTACCTAAAATTAACGGGCACTCAATACATCCATTTCCTTCCCTCAATCTGTAGTGTGTAGACTTCTTAGGATTTCTTAATTCCTTCCCTTGAAGTAATGGATTGTGCCCTCATTACTAAATGATGTTCTTAAATTACTTATTGACTTACATTTAAAGGATATTAAGGATGACCTAATGTCGTTTAAAGTATTAAATCCAGAGGTCTGTGGTTAGACTGTCAGGGCACTGACAAATGGGATGAAGGAGATGTCACTATTAATTTGAGGTAATAAATGAATTATGTAGTTTGATATCATCTTCATAAATTAATTGCACAAATTATAAATTAAAGGAGACAGAATTCTTCCCCCGTGACACACATCAGGCTCCAAAGCAAGCGGCTACTATTAGCATTAGCCGTTTGTTGACATTAAAGGGATTTTGCTAAACTAGCTTGCCGGCTAGCTGGCAAAAGAAGCTAATATTTAGTTCAGGCTAACCGAGTTGAGTCGAGTAACATAGTGCTTAGAAACAGAAACACAGTGCTGCAGGAATGAGTCATAAAACTCGGAAATGATGACTTCCGCCAACCTCGCCTCAAAGTTAGTGGGTTTTTCAAAAGGGTTTCAGGACAGATGCTTTAAATCTGTGGTTAACAGAAGCTTCAGATATTTTCACACACCAAGTCGGTAAATACCCCACCTCTGAATTTTAAAGCTTTGTCTTAAAAATAGGGGTTGCTAACAAGTGGCTAAATGAGACTACAGAGGTTGTTGGTGACATTAAACATCAGCATGCAATAAGGCAAGTGATGCAGCCGCGATGTACTCCGTTTATAGTCTAACACTAGCTTTTTACCCATTTATACTTCATTTACACTTGATGAACCAAATGTCAGAGTATCGTAAACTTGCCACAGAGTTTATTTTCTGCAATAATCCATAATCCAACGGAAAATCCCGCTGGCTTTCTGTAGAGGGAACCAGGATGAACTTCCGGGAAGGCCTATAAAAATAACCCTGCGGCACTCCACTAGGGTTAAAGGTTAAAAGCAGTGTAGATGTTGACAGATTTCCTTTACAATAATATTCACTTTTAATGACAGCCACACCACAGCAATATTACTCAGCTATCTCTCTATTGCCCATATTGTTTCCCTTTATATTTAGCCACTATATAACCATGACAGGGCCAAATTTGTGATGCAACTGCAAAGCCTCTATTACTCAATAATACATTTTTACATTACGTATTTTTATCTTTATTCTTTATATTGCTTTTTAAATTCTTACTTTTCACACCAGTCTTTAAGCACAGCTTTAAGAGTATGCCACACTGTATTCCACTACACATATTGTTTGTGTATGTGACAAATAAAACCTTTAAATCCCAAATCCTAAATAAGAGCATCCTAAGCGTGTACTTATTTATATCTACTTTTAAAGAATACAGGATAAAGCATAATATATAAGCTGCTCCACAGAGTGCAAGGGCAACACGGGATAAAGCAAAACAGATAATAATATTGGTGGAAAGAGGAAGGGAAAAAAGAAAGGGAGTCAGACAGATATGGTTAGAAGGAGATTAAAAACACCGACTAGGGAGCCAGAGGGGAGAGGAGCCAGAGAAAAATGGTGAGGGAGGGATACCTAAAAGGAAGGAGGGAGGGAGGGAGGGAGGGAGGGAGAGAGGCCTAGGGTGAGAGCGAGAAAGTGAGAGAGGCCAGCCAGCAGTGTATCCATGGACAGGAAGTGTCGAGGCGTGGTTGGCTCACTCTCCCCTCTCATCAACCCCCCCACCACCACCACATCACCGCCCTGCTGCTGCTGGGAAAGGCCTAACCACAACACACACACACACACACACACACAAACACACACACAAACACAGTGCATTTACGCATGCTTGCTCAGCCCAAAATACACTCACACACGCATTGAAAAGCACTGGATGTGAACTGCAGCAGGCTGTGTGACTGTGTGATAGTAGAGGATACATAAGAAGCAGCACTGAGCTGACAGCAGCATAAACTGTGTTGGTCAATGCAGATATCAGACGTGTGGTCCGCCTTTCAAAGGATCAATGCTTTACTCGTTTCTGTGTCTAACAATGCTGTGAATGTTGTTTCAGGGGCTTTCTCTGAATAAAATAGTGAGGGAACATTTTGAAGAGTTGTCAGTTTTGACATTTCCTTTTTGACAAGTAAACAATTTCAAAGCTATTGTATGACAGAAGGAAATGACGCCTATCTGCAGCCTCCTTTTCTAAATATCGGTCCCTAAACCTACACGAGTCCAGCCCTGACAGGAACCTTCAGCAAAGCCGAGCTACAAAATTACAACGGTTGCACCACAAAACGCTCTCCCTCACTTCCTCTTCTCTGCGCTCTTGCATTTTTTTTTTTTACTGTTGTTTTTTTTGCTTTTTGAGCCAGTAAGGGCCCTTGAAACATGATTTCTTGTCAAGACAGTTGGCTGACACAATCCAGCTAATAGATGATATCTGACAAACGACTCACAAACAGTTCACGCATGCACGCGCGCGCACACACACACACACACACACACACACACACACACACACACACACACACACACACACACACACACACACACACACCTTGAGGCATGCTGATCTTCTCGCCGTTCTTGCTCTTGAGCTTGTGCTTCTTGAAGGTGCCCTTCCTCTTCTTGACGTTGGGTTTCTCCTGGTTCTGGTTCAGGTGGAGGATGAGGAGACTGAGCTCGCGCTCGAACACATCCTGCTCCCACTGGGCCAGCTGCTGCTCGCGCTGCCGCAGGAACTCTTCGTGGGACTTCTGCTCCAGAGCCGCTCGCTTCAGCTCCTCCTCGCGGCATCGCAGCTCCTGATTGAGGGGGAGAGGCAGAGGAAAGAGATGAGGAGATGTTTAATATCAGCGGGTCCCAGTCATGTGTGACTGAGGTTTACGATCTCATCTCCTCCTCAGTGACAGTGTGAAATGAGTTAATGGAGAGGTTGGGTGCAATGAAACCTTTCATCTGCATTAATGCCAAGATGGCTCACAACTGCTGTTTGACATTATATTTGATGTTCCACAGATTAGTGTTTGAACTCAAGCACAGCTGAAAAGGTTGCAGTATGTGGACTTCTCCTCCCAGACCCTTACATTAAATACTGCAAGGCTCACACGGCACCATAATTAACATCTAAAATTAAATTAACATTTCCGTGGAGAGCTATTTTTGTGGTTAAATGACCTGTTTCAAGTCTGTATTGATAATGTTAAGGCGTTAAGCCCAGTTCATCATGACGAGACGAAACCTTTTTAGGATGTTGTGAATTGGACCGTCTCAGCTCAACACAAGATTTAAGATTTAAGAATCTGCTTTAACAGCCAATCGATGCATTCATGTTTTAGAACGCTACAAATTATATCCTGCTACAAAAAAAGCCTAGAAAGCCCGGCAGTTAGAAGTACAGAGAGTCATTGCTATGGAAACAATGAACCACCCTGTCTGGTTGCATTGGTGTAAACAGGTTTGAAGAAGGTTGTGAATCTTTGGTCTGAACTGGGCTTAAAAGTGGCAAAAATAGCTGCTATTTATATTTATTTACAATATCTTACCTAGCTATACCTTTTAAGTTTTGCTAAGATTATGCCTTTTTAACCTTGCGAGGTAGCTGGATTCGCAAGATCACAAAATCATGAGATCATGCAAGAATTCAACTTGCCAGGGACTTGCTGTGGTCAAACTACAGTGGAACCAGACCAATCAGAGTTCATTGAGGAAGTACTGGCAGATACAGGGTGGCTGCTTCAGAGGTTAGTGTAGATGCTGCTAGCATCCGTTATATCATAACAGGAGAGTATTTCTTCATTGAAAGAAGAGCAAAGAACGGCTCTGGCATGTGGACTGTGATATTTTTATTTGTTACCAGAGCTGACAACAAATCAGGTTAAATGTCAAGGGTACATTGCGCGGAAGACCTGACAACTCAACATCAGTGCCATCAGTGCAGACACTTACCCACCTGTAAGTTACAAACCATAGCTGATATTTAACACTACATGGTATAACTAAACAGTGTAGAGGTATAGTTCCACAAATTCAACAAGAAATGAGAACCCCAGGTAGACAAATGGATGGATGATCAACAAGAAGGACACAGCCTCTGACCTTCTCTTTAGCCCGGAGTTCATCGAACATGTCCTGGATCTCCAGTTTCCAGTCCTCTTGCAGGGAGTGGAAGGAGTCCTGCGGCATCTCCTCCTTCACCTGCTGCTCCAGGGCCGTCAGCTGGGACAGGATGGAGCAGAAATTGGGTCTGTGGTGGGGGTCCTGGTCCCAGCACTCTGTCACGCACAAAGCAGACACAGTCAGACACCAGGGTCAGATACAGAGTTATTAAGCATCTGTCAAGCATGACTGCACGGCTGTCCTCCCACTGAGGCAAAAAGAATAGAAATAAGGAACTAGTGGACTAAAGCAGAGCAAAATAGATATTAAGGAGGTTGGTGTTGGAAAAGAAAATCAAAGGTTATTTCGCTTGGTACTGAGCCGTTTCCTTAAAATGAGTGGAAAATATCTGACGATAAAGTCGGACCGATTCACTTGTTTCCAGTACAGTTTCACTTCTTTTGAGTGTTTTCATGAATCAAGGGACCTGAAAGAAGGAAGTCACTTGCTGATTCACCATAATCCTCACACGTACCGATTTGCACTGGCAAAAAAAAAAATCCCTCCATTTGAATTTTAAGACTTAAAATTAGGTCAAAAGACTACTAACTACTAAGATGGATGATGCTGCATTCATTACACTTCATGTTGAATGAGCATCCTGCAATCCCTCTAATTTTTATTTACACATACTTCAGGCACTTGTGTGAGCACAATCTAGAGTCAAGCTGATCACTTATTCAAAGTGTTATGCTTAATTAACTTGCTGTGGGGGTTTTTGCATAATTTGCTGCAACACTTTGGGCACTACAAGCAGATCAAAAACCAATCTGATAATTAATTAATCCTCTGAGGTGGCTATCGGTGGTTTTTGTGCACTGATCTCTCTCTCTCTCTCTCTCTTTTTTTTTTTAAGACAACCGTAAATCACAAGCAGACATCAAGAGAAGGGGCTAAGCGGAAAGAATATAAACTGTCTGTGTCTACTTTTTGGCTAATGCGCGTCAGGAGCAAAGTGGAAAACCGGCTGGCAGCGTGGTAGAAAGTACCCAGGTGACATTTCTTTTTTAACTTGAAACTGAAGAAAGGAAGAACAGAAATGGGTACAAACATATTGCATGAGGTGGCTCCAGCACAAAACACTTCCTCTCCACAGCCACGTTATTAACAACATACAGGAATTTGTTTTCTCAATTTCAGTCCAGCTTTGGGGAAATGGAAAGAGAGCGAGGGCGGGATCTCACGCAAGAGTACTCTCACACCACTGAACCGAGAGACACGGCCTAGACAGCGCTATGAGCACAATCGATTACATTTCCACACACGTGTCCCACCTGCCATGAGCAGAGCGAAGGGTTCAGGGCACGTGGAAGGGATGGGCAGGGTGAGCTTGTTGACAGCGACTCCGTAGGCGACGGCGAGTCCATCAATCCCCTTGTAGGGTGCCTCTCCTGTTAGCAGCTCCCACAGCAGCACACCATAGCTGGAGGGGGTGTGGGGGGGGGACACACACACAGACATACAGAATTAGAAACAGGAGATGTCCTGGAACACTTTTCAGTACACAATATTTTTTTTGTATCTGTTTTACAGTATTTTACCATCTAGACCTCTGTCATGTGAGAATGCGTTCATATCTGTAAGCTGCAAACTATATACATCCTGCAGCTGCTTCACAGTAGAAGCATTCCAGCAAACAGTACTGATGATGGCTTTTACTGTGAAGCACTCAGTAAATCCTAAATTAAAGCTGCCAGGATTATCTTAAAGCCACCATCTTGAGCTTTTTATATGATCATAGCGTCTTTCACATTATTGTGGTGGCAAAAGTGTGTGTTTGTAGAAGTGTGAGATAACCCCAGTGACAGTGTTGATTTCAGACCATTTAACTCATTGATTGCAGACTGGACCTATAGTTCTGTCACAGTGTCTTTTTTCACAGTACCACTAGGGGGAGCCAAATTCTACACATAGTAGCTTTAAAGCTGCGTTATTTGCTATTTTCAACCACTAGGGAACAGCGGAACATATTTGCATTATCAAGTTCTTAATATTAATGTCACCTGTTAATGTCATTTGATCCATTGCTAATATAAAACATATTGGTTTTTATTAGTGCAGCTTTATGCTTATTTTAGCTAAGGTTACTTTTTTGGTTTTAACTGACGTGGTTTAAATTCACATTTTAACACTTTTTTACACAGTAAATTGGTTAGGTGACATGTTTTACACCAATTTACAGGATATCTAATTTTTAGGTAAAAGGTTTAAAATTTCTAACATCTGTTGGTAGAAATGGAAAACAACATTCATAGGTATGTTTTCATTACCTGAATATAGGAATCATTGTGTTTTTGTTACTTCAGAATGAGCATTTTTTAATCTACGGGGGGTCTTCTACGGAGTCCGCCATGTTGAACCACCATGTTTCTACAGTAGCCCAGAACGGACAAACCAAACACTGGCCTTTCCTGTTTTTCACAAGCTTCACGGCCACAGCTACATTCCACTAAATCCTACCCACTGAACCTTTAAATACTGAATATGAGAGTGCTTTTAAAAGATAATAGCTCTTTAGACACTGGGTTGTCTATGGTGTTTATATACTTCATAATGGATTACAAGTAAGTGTAGCTTTAACGCTACTTTGTACCGCACATTATGCCTTACATACTCATTATCATAGAACTGACAGTACAGAACTAAGACACATTTGTGCAGTGGAATATTTTTGCTTGATGAAACAAGTGCTCGCAAAGCAATGTGAACTCATGCATGCAAAACCTGCACAAACACAAATACACACACACACACAAACAGGACTTTTGAGCCCACACAATGGGAGCAGCCCTGTGTCCTAAGAAGATGAAGCGTGGCGCAGGACTTGGATCTCCCACACTGTCAATTAGCCCTCGCCTGGACCTGACTGAACGCACTGTGCAAGCTCGCTAAGTGGAGAGCGCAGGCCGCAGCCTTTTTTTATTTAGTTCTTTAATTACAACTTCCACACACTGTAACTGTGCAGAAACGCTGCTCGTCGGCTCGCCCCGAGGCAGCCATCGTCTCTGCGTGGCGGCTTTGGAGACGAGCGGCCGTGGACGGATGAGAAAGAATAGTAGAACAAAGATTACCCTTCATTTTCAGAGCAGGGCTGCCTGCCCGCCTGCAACTCTCTCATTTTGCTGTTTTCCAGATTGTGCGGAGATTGCTGTGAAAATGAGATTGCGTGGGTTTGTTGTCGATAGACGCAGGAGTTGGAAACTGAGAGGATGTGTCTGTGAGATGGTGAGATGGCACTGAGCCCATTAGGGTAGTGAAAAAACACTGTACACTCTTACTAAATAGGGTTCCTTAAAGTACCAGAAAATTCCTTAAATAGCTTGCACCATAGCAGAATCCTTTTTGATGTCCTTAAGGAGGCTTTCAGAAAGGTTCTTGTAACAGCATGCTCAATTGGTTCCACATAGGCTCTGTACGTGGCTGCAAAGAACCATTTAAGAATGGATGAAATGGTCCAAATCCACAGGATTAAAATTAAACCATAGCATATGAGAGTATCCGCAATAACCACAATGCAGCAAAGCAGTGAATGTGTTACTGCTTTCATAAATTATTTATCTTTTTTCTCTATTGCTGAGCAAAAACACCCCTGCCTGCTTCATTCCAAATGCAAATTCATATATGGCACTTAAAAGCCATCATGAGTCCCCTCTCAGCAAATCACACAGTTGTTTAAGTCATTATTATAAAACCACAAACCATAATCAAGGGACTCTTCTCTTTTTGTGTAGACACAGATATGTGCACACACACACACACAAAGCTATTCGCAGATAAGGGCTGTGGTTAGGTCTAGTGTGTGGCCTCCTTCTCTGTCTATACTGGAGACAATGGGACAGTGTGCAGTACACATGTCCCACAACAAAGCACAGAGCAGCCCTTTGAAGAGACACCATCACATGGCTGCGGCGGCTTTGCTGCAATCCATCACTCTCTCCCTCCATCTCTTCATCAATCCGTCTCCCACCATCACTTCTCTGCACTTTCACCCTTTCCCTTCTGTTTCTATCTCTGTCCACAGGCCCCTGCTGCAGCTCCACCATCCTGCTGAAGAGATACTACTGTCTATATACTAACATCTTTATTCTGTCTCAGCCCTGCTGAAAAGGACTGGTCTCAATAGCCAATGTCAAAGGGCTACACTCCACCAATTTAATATTGCACGTCAATAAAGTTGGGGGACTTGGAAGAATGGTCAAAACTGAAGCAAGAAATGCCGAGATTTGTGTTGTCACTATCTATCTATGCTCACACAGAATAAAACAATAGCAGTGCTTTTCATTCTGTATTTGAAGGTCACACACGATTCTGTCACCATAGAAACACTAGTATTGGTCAGCTAGCAAGAGACTGGTGCCATTAAACTGAGGATTATAACACTTACTGCTTTATTTATTGGCTCATTATTAAGCATGAGTTAAACATTCAAATGTCAGGAGTCAAAATTGTGGTTTTGTGACGCACAAAGTTTGGCTGTTATGGAGACAACCTGTGGTTAAAATGTGGTTAAAACTTGGTTAAAATATGCCTCCACATGACAACATCAACATCACAGTATTAGTTCTCTGCATTGTATCATAGCTAAATATACTAAACATATAATAAGGTAGGAAAGTTCAATCTTTAATTGGGGATTGTATAAATCAAAATGTTATTTCATAGGCAAGCATCTCAGACCCTAACCCTAACCCTAACAGCTGCTACAGCTAACAAGACTCCATTAACAAAATGAGTCATTTTACCAGATGATCACAAATCAAACTGGACTGAAACAAAATAAACCCCACAAAAACCATCTTTGATAGTCTTTCCAAAATTCAAAAACTGCTTTGGTTGAAATAGATTGTTAATTCACAGACATACTGTAGATGAGATAAGCCGCTCTCACAGGCACTAAAATGCATGCGAGGCCAGACCGGCTATGTAAACAAACCAGAGGGAGGCTGCGATAGCAACACAGGACTCAAGACCCCATTCTATCTTGACATTTTAATCCTTTTAAATTTCACACACGACCTTTAAAGGAATAGTTTGATATTTCGGGAAATACACGCATGCTTAGATTGCTTAGCCCTAGCTTCATATTTAGCGTAATAGAACTATTCCTTCAAGGTGCTTTGATAACATAAATACCATAAAAGAACTGCGTGCATGATACACATCCTGGATTTGGCTTCTACACACAGAATAACACACAGAAGCACTCACCTCCAGACGTCGCTGCCCTTGGAGAAGGTGGATGACTTGATGACCTCAGGGGCCATCCAGGCGTAGGTGCCGGCGGTGCTCATCTTGGTGGTCTTGTGCCACTCTCTCGCCAGGCCGAAGTCGGTGATCTTCAACGTCAAACCCTCCATACATTCATTCTCCATGGGCTGAGCCAGAAGGACTGGAGGAAGGAAGGACAAGTGGGGAGGAAGAGAGGAAAAAAAAAAGACAGGTAAGACTTGACGAGGTTTCAAACATTTAAATATGCTGAGTGATTCAAATTCAATGAAATGCATCACTGCAAAGACTCAATTAGCACTTTTCTTGCTTGTGATAAAATTCATGTAAGACTACAGCTTAGTCTTCAGTACCTGTATTCACATATGCTCTGTTCCTTTCTCACTTCCTCTTCCTCGTGTTTTTACAATGACAAACACATTTCCACGTAACACTTGCATTTGACTAATCAATGTAAATACATTAATCTCTAGTGGACTCTAGTGAAGAAGCTATAGGAACTTGGAACCCCCAGAAGACAATAAGAAATAAATAATCATATGAATTAATTGCAAGAAATATATAAATGAAGCAATGTTGCATATCTTAAATATTTTTGTTCAAACGATTTTTTATTTCATTATTTTACTATTTCATTTTAGACTTTGGGGATCCATACATATAGTGCTAATGCTTGAAGAACACTGGAGTTTAGTTTAGATTAGTTATTAAGTCCATAAAATGTCTGAATATGGTGAAAAATATTAATCAGTGTTTTCCAAAGCCCAAGCTGATGTCCTAAAATGTCTTGTTTTGTCCACAACCCAAAGATGTTGAGATTACTGTCATAGAGGACTAAAGAAACCAGAAAATATTCAAATTTGAATTTGAAGCTGAAATTAGAGAATCTGGACATTTTTTTCTTTTTTACTTTTTAAATCTGCTGATCCAAAGATTGTAAGCTGAACAACAAGCCAATGTCCCAAAAACATTATTCCTTTACACTGCGGTGATACTCATCCATCCTGTATCTTATCTCATACCTGCAGACTACCATCATGTCACAACTGATGTGCACTCAGGTTCAGGTAGGTCATTATTTATGTCATCCATGAATTCAGTACTGGATCCAATGGCTGTTTGGGGAAATCTCACTGATGTCAGACTGCAGAAATACTACCATGTGTTTTAATTGCCTTTCATAAAAAGTCATGCAGCCTCTTATGACAGCAGGCACGCTGCATATCACAGTAGAGAACAAAAAGCTGCAACAAAGAAATATCAGTCTCACATGGCCTCATTGCAAACATAAGACGGAAAGCACCAAACAAAACACAGCACATTTAAATGTGTCAGAAAGAGGCAAACATTGTTCTTCTTTGACTGTGAAAAGAACTGTAATGCAGTTTAAATGAAGGACAGACGTAAACCTGACCACAAAACCTCGATGTGGCAGTAGTTAAATGGACCAGTGACGATGCAGTTATGTCAGTTTTGTTTGAGTTGATCAATTTACTGTGTGAAAAAGATCCATGATCATGAGCGCTCTGTTAATTTAGGTTTTTCTTGCAGACAAAGTAGGACAACTCTTCAAAAAAGCTTTCTCAAGTTCTGCGGGGAATGGCTGATTTGCATTAATTATTGTGACTAAGAAACTAGTTTAAACACTTGTGAAACTTTTGCACGACTCGGAAAATGCTGGCGCAGTTACAGTAAAGTCAAAACACTGCGTATGTCATGCGTCACGCAACGTGCAGTTTGAAGTTTCAGCTCTCAAAATGCCTCTCCACACCAATTTTACTGTGCTTTGATGTTTTTTTTTTTAAACAAAGGTGAAGACGGCTTTAACACGTTACTATGGTTACCATTATTAACTACATCAACATCCATTCCATCTTGGTAAAAATCCTCACCTTCATAGGTCGTCATTTCTTTAACAGGCAATCAAGTGTCGCAAGCAGTAATATCCGCTTCTAGTGAATGAGTCATAAAAATCTGTGTTTTCAACCTTAACTCATTTCTCAACCTACTGTATATTATAGTGTATACAACATGTGGAACAGACATAAAAGGTTCACAAAAGTCAGAGAGGATACAGTGAAGTATCATTACACAGCAAAATTAATTTCAACCGAGGAGGAAGGTGGTCTAACTGAGGTCTAAGTGTTTCCTGGCCTGTTTTTGATGCCACAGTCATGGTCATAAAATCTAGCTCTGTTTTAAAGGAAATACATAATTCCTTTTACCTGCAGTGCTATTTATCCATCCAGATTGTCCAGGTGTTGAGTTTTTAGAGATGTCTGGCTGCCTTCTCTTCCATATAATGGAACCGGAAGACCCAGTTACCAAAATAATCCACAAACCTTGTTGTGAGCAGTCTCATGTAGGAACTATTTTCTTTCTAGTTGAGCCAGCTAATGCAGAGGAGGACGGCATTAATGTTTAAATCACACGCTGCCTCTCATCCATGGGTAGATGCACTCTTCCTTCTGTGTGGTGATACGTAGAAAGAAATAGTTCCTACATGAAACTGCTCACAACAAGATCTGTAGATTATCTTGAGTTACCGGGTCATGATTTCTGAAAAGAGGCACTGCTGTTGAGGTTTTCAAATTCTTGAGAACCACAAGCCGAGTGCCCTCTGGTTCTAACTCACACCAAAACAATCTGGATGGATAAATAGCACTACTGGTGAGAGGAAAAACATGCTAAATCTACTGACATTTCTTTTTTTTTTTTTTTTGCTTTCAATTCTGGGTTTCTCTTCTTAATCGCAATAAAAACTAGAGCCATTTGATAAAAATCCAGCCGACAAGCAGAAACAGAATCAGAACTGATTAAACCTTATTGATAGACACCTGACAGCAGCAGCATGGATCAATCAGATACGGATGACTGATATTCAAGAGCCGGTCTCTAAACATAGACGTAAACACAGAAATCCAAAAGGAGAAAAGTACACACTGAAAATGTAATAAGCTATAAGTAAACACATTTTGGTAACCAGCCAGTGTTATGCAACCGCACGGCGTTGGAAGGCTTTGTTTCTATGAAAATAGAATATAATGCTGAGGATGTCGGTTGCTGCGGTGTGACTCTGTATCACATGTCCCTGTATGATCGGCAGCCATGCCTCTCTTCCCCTTTGCTGGCAGGCTGGGCATCATTCAGGGCAAGGCTGGCCGTCAAACGCAGGGAGGAGAAGCAGCAAAGAATTTGACTTATTATAGGGAAGTAAGACTATTTGCAGTCACTTTCCGACTTTCTGGGCTCGGCACCCTTTTTTTCTCTTCTTCTTCTTCTTCTTTGACTGCGTCTTTCACTGAAAAATCTATTTTCTCCAGTCTCTCTTTTCTTTAACTGCACAAATATGAAATTTATCTTCGTCTACACATATGAACGATTCTCCCTCTCTTTGTTGTCTCCGTCTTTGTCTCTCTCTCTCTCTCTCTCTCAGACATCCTGTGCTGTGCCTCGTAGCCCAGAGGCAGCGAGTTTGACGTCACAAAGGAATGCATCACAAGAGGTTGTGTTGTCTGCTCTGTGTGTGTGTGTGTGTGTGTGTGTGTGTGTGTGTGTGTGTGTGAGAATGTTGAAGGGGATAGGAGACTTGGTTCTTTCATAATGTACTTGTGTGAGAATTTCTGCACCCAGTTGTGTTGAAACCACACATACACACACCTTCCTTAACATCTCTTAAGACGGTGACAGGTACAAAGACGGACAATTAATGGAGGCTTTTACTGCACTTTCTTAACAGCCAGACCACTTTTCAAAAGGGGGCAAAAAAGTGCATCAAGGTATGTCCATCACAGACTCTCACATCGACTTCTGCCTCGAGAAGAAGGCACAAACAATAAAATAGCAAACGTAGCCAATGGCCAAAACAAAAACAACCTCTACAGTGAGAAAAAAAAGTGGCCGCTCATTTAACCTTTTTGCAGAAAATCAATTTCTGTCCATTCTACGGCTGAGTCATTGTTTCTGTCAATTCCACAGGCCCTCAGGGAGGAGGAGGTGGTGTTGGAGGGGGTGATGGTATTTACTGCAACAGGCCCTGATCCCTTGCTCCACTTCTTTTGTCCGCCTGCCGGTCAGCGTCTGGTGAAAACAAGCCTCGGTCAGTCACCCCTATTTCCACCCGAGTGCTCGCTCGCTGCGACGTGACCCCACTTCCAGGAAGTGACGCCGGTATTAGCCAATAAGCCTCCGTTGCTGAGGCCCTTCCTTCACAAAAAAAAAGAAAAAACCCTACAGGAGCCGATTTTGTCGTTCCCGCCTTCACTGTGCACAATAAGCAGAGCGCTATTTTAGGAAACAGAGGTTAAGAAGGGTCACGTGGGACCAGACACTGACAGACAGGAGGAAGTGTAGGTGCTGTGGTAGAGCAAGCAGAGGTGACAGAGACAGAGAGAGAGAGAGAGAGAGAGAGAGAGGTGCTGAATGTTGATCGTTATCATATGATTGAGTGAGAGCAGGGCGTAGCTAAAAGCGGCTGCCTGGGCCTAGAAAGCAGAATTATAGATAATGGTCCACACACACACACACACACACACACACACACACACACACACACACACACACACACAAAACACACACACACACACACACACACACACACACACACAAAGCACTCATTCTGCATGAGTCTGACAAACAGATGCACACACAGACACTTAACACAGGTCACATTCAATGTCCATTTTTCAGCAAAACCAGCTAAAAAATCTCTGCACACACACACACACAGTTGAAGGGCTGCATGCACACAGGAATACACACCAGTGAACTACTACACATACACAAACAGAGGCTAAATCCCGGGGGGGGGGTGTTATGACAGCTGGACCACCTAAACACCGACCAGTCACCTGACACTAAATCATTTTGAGATATACTAGATTATCAAACGTGGCCCAACGTGTGTCTGCACATGATGCCTCACTTCATGCGTGCCAATATCAAGTATAGCTGCATTGTCATTGTCTTGCTTTGTCCATAACCCAAAAGATATTCAGTGTACTGTCATACAGGACCAAAGAAAATATTCACATTTGAGAAGAAGAAGAAGAAGAAGAAGAAGAGGAAGTGGAAGTGGAAGCAGGGGGAAACATCACGCTAGTTCAAAATTACAACAACCAACACCTCTAAAACTCCCAATCTAACATGTGTCTCATTTGTTTA